GTCAAACAATAATTACAGTACTTTTTCTTTAGTTTTTTTCTAATTACAAAAATTATAAGTAATTAATTACTTTGACACACCTTTTCTCTCTTCACTCTTAAAAAATAACTCAGAAATATTTAAAAGTGTTAAGCTTGTAATAGGTTAACTAATAATAATAATATTAATAAAAGCTTAACCAGAAATAGCTTAGAATATTTTGGGTTATTATGATGAAGCCATTAAGCTCTCTTAAAAGCAAGTCAGTGAGGAAGGCTAATACTTATACGAAAAGTGTCTCAAAATTAGCTGTGTAGACCGTAGAGACGACCCTCGCAAATTCACTTTCACTATTAGCACTCTACCATCCCTCTCTCCTCACGCGCGCGTACAGATTGGCCAATGGTTTAAGGGTCTTTTCTAACATACAGATTGACCAAAGGTCCTAATGAGCAGGGGCAAAAAATGGGGGAGGAGCTTACAGCAGTGATGTGTCTGGGGGAGGAGCTAGTCTATTCAAGTAAACTGTTTGTTAACGTTTTCTTATCTTACCAGATACAGAGGTGGTCTCTTTAATGCTATTGAATATCGTAGAACCAACTTGTGTAGTTGAAAAAGCTGACTACATTTTTTAATTCATTTTATTTATAAATACTCATTAGGTTAACATTGGAATCTATGGAGCCATTGGGGCATAGCCCGAAATGATTTTTGGTATAAGAATACGACTAGATATGTTAATCGGGAATGTGAGCTATCTTCTTACCAAATTTCAACCCGATCCGACCAGTACCTAGTTAATGCGTGATTGGATATCAAACAAACGAACAGACTCACAAAATTTCACAATATTAGTACTACGATATATTGTAGTTTTTAAGGGTGAAAACATGATGTCTCATCATTTCTCTATTATTTTCATTGCGTGAGCGATCTCTTCAAGGAAACTTCAGAAAGATTAATACTAATGACACATACTATGAACACAAAAAATCTAACGTGAACCATTTTCTTCTTTACATTTTATACAAAACTAGCTGTTGTACCCGTGCCTTGCAACGGGAATAGGACACAAAATAGAAACATTTTAATCTTTACATCTGTTGCATATAATAGTTACACATCCGCAAACGCTTTTAGAAACAAAATTCAACTTTTATGGCCTAAATAGACCTCCCAAAAAATGTAATTTGTGTACTTGAAAAGAAATTGATAGTGAGTTAATAAGCAATTAGTTCGATTTTATAGCCTATTATTTGTATTAGATTACCGCACTGTTTAGTTTAAGCTACAGTTGAATGTAAAAACCTTATTTGTTTACTTAACAGTTTACATAAAACTTGGTGTTTTAAAAAGTAAAATTCGTCTCTTGAGCTTGGCCACCTCTGTGACTGGTAAGATTAGAAAACGTTAACAAACAGTTTACTTGAATAGACTAGCTCCTCCCCCAGACACATCACTGCTGTAAGCTCCTCCCCCATTTTTTCCCCCAGCTCATTAGGACCTTTGGTCAATCTGTATGTTAGAAACGACCCTTAAACCATTGGCCAATCTGTATGTGGCCCTCCTCACACCACAGAATGCATTGCTTGTAATGCCAAATGTAATAAACTCCCCTTTATTGACCGGTCAACTTCACTTCACTGTGAATTGCCTTCTAGCACTCAATATGGCTAGAACTACACATTCAAATTTTAAAGCTGTAGCCACTAGCCAGTTCAAAAGAATAAAAATAGCGCAATTGAATTCAGCCGCCGGCAGAGCTCGCTCGAAGGCTCGTCCAAACCGAAGCAGGAAAGCGGCGGGAGCGGGAAGGAGATGAGTGACGGCGGTAAGCTGCGCGCGCACTACGGCGGCACGGCACGGACGGGCGGGCGGCACGGCAATTTTTAAAAGTTAATAACATTGAATGTCATATGAGTGCGCCCACTACGGTGGTACGGCCCGCAACGGACGTTCGGCAGCTTCCGCCGTTTGTTAAAAAAGTCCGGGAGACAGAACTTTAGGACATTTCCGAGCTGCCGTGACGACCGTACCGCCCGTACCGACCGGGAGCACTGCACAGTGCACACCGAGCGGGCGGGCGGCACGGGACATCCGCCATTCTCAACTGATCTCTGTCAAAGTAGCAGTGTTTTCGTATGTTGTAAACATAGATGTTAGTAAGTTGATTTTTCTCGTTGAGAAATACCCAGAACTGTACAACATGCGACATCCGGAATATTTTAATAACGTTCGACGTGATAATAAATATGGGCAGAAATATGATCTATTATGAAACAATCAGGTAAGTTTCACACATAATCCTTCTACAAGATCAGGAAACAAGGTGTGGAACCCTCCAAAACTTAGTCTTTTCCTGTTTATGTGGTGTATCTAAAATCTTTGCTTGCACCTTCTTGTCTCCTCTTCCTCTGCTAATCTTGTTGCAACCTACTATCACCACTTTATCTACATCCATCTTTACTCACAATTTTTAGCTCGCAGACTGTCAACTGTCCTAAATTGCGGATGTGCGGATGTCCCGTCCCGTCCGTCCGTGCCGTGCCGCCCTAGTGCGCGCACCCCCTCTTAAAAATGCCATCCGTGCCGTACCGCCCGTCCGTGCCGTGCCGCCGTAGTGCGCGCGTAGCTGTGACCAGCGGCAGCGGTACGTGGCGGGAGGTAGCCCACAAGATGCACGGAGTAACCACACCGAAGCTGCAGGCAGCGGATAGCGGGACGACCCCTCAGTAGAATACAAATGATAATACGTTTGTAATGACATGTTTAATGTAAACAAAGCAGATCCCGATACATTTTAAATGGAAAATAGTTTCCTTATTTCTCGTTTTCTGGTAGATTTGGACGTAATGTGCTATTTTTCCCAACCCCCTTGGACCAAGACCTTTCATTTGAGCCCTCTCCCATCATCCTGCGAGCTGTCAAACTCTCACAATTTTGATAAATAATAATCGCTTACAGAATTAATAATATAGATTTATTTCACTGTTAAATCAATGTTTGCCTACAATTGCCTCAGTACTTCGGGGATGAAGTTTTGGTAGGAGAGAGTCAAGTAGTCAAGCAACTAAAGATAGGTTTGATGCTACAGCAACGGGGTATTAGTATACTTGTACAATCTTACTTGATTCGTCCATTTCTTTGCCGATATCCCCCCAGATTCGATCCTTCTTTATATTCTTGAAGTACTTATGATTCAAGTCATAAAGTACTGGATATAAATAAACATACTCAACCAACTGTTCAGCGATCAACGCGCTGGAATCGTCCTCAGACATCTTCGCTAACATCTCGACACCAAATGAGCCATGTACCCATGTTGTCCGCGGCGGTACGAGCGGGAAAATCCAACATGTTTCAAACCGGCGGGACGATCGAACAACGCTGCGGGACGGCGGCAGTTTACCGCTCTAGTATGGGTGCTCACATCTACCACTGTACTTTAAAATCCCGCGCGGGAATTCGTCGCTCCACCACCCCGCTCCCGCCGCTTCCCCGCTTCGGTTTGGACGAGCCTTCATGTAAATTCAGCCGTCTGCAGAGCTGTCTCATGTAAATTCAGCCGCCGGCAGAGCTCGCTCATGTAAATTCAGCCGCCGGCAGAGCTCGCTCATGTAAATTCAGCCGCCGGCAGAGCTCGCTCATGTAAATTCAGCCGCCGGCAGAGCTCGCTCATGTAAATTCAGCCGCCGGCAGAGCTCGCTCATGTAAATTCAGCCGTCTGCAGAGCTCGCTCATGTAAATTCAGCCGCCGGCAGAGCTCGCTCATGTAAATTCAGCCGTCTGCAGAGCTCGCTCATGTAAATTCAGCCGCCGGCAGAGCTCGCTCATGTAAATTCAGCCGCCGGCAGAGCTCGCTCATGTAAATTCAGCCGCCGGCAGAGCTCGCTCATGTAAATTCAGCCGTCTGCAGAGCTCGCTCATGTAAATTCAGCCGCCGGCAGAGCTCGCTCATGTAAATTCAGCCGTCTGCAGAGCTCGCTCATGTAAATTCAGCCGCCGGCAGAGCTCGCTCATGTAAATTCAGCCGCCGGCAGAGCTCGCTCATGTAAATTCAGCCGCCGGCAGAGCTCGCTCATGTAAATTCAGCCGCCGGCAGAGCTCGCTCATGTAAATTCAGCCGCCGGCAGAGCTTGCTCATGTAAATTCAGCCGCCGGCAGAGCTCGCTCATGTAAATTCAGCCACCGGCAGAGCTCGCTCATGCAAATCCAGCCTCCAGCAGAGCTCGCTCATGTAAATTCAGCCGCCGGCAGAGCTCGCTCATGTAAATTCAGCCGCCGGCAGAGCTCGCTCATGTAAATTCAGCCGCCGGCAGAGCTCGCTCATGTAAATTCAGCCACCGGCAGAGCTCGCTCATGCAAATCCAGCCGCCGGCAGAGCTCGCTCATGTAAATTATTCAATTACTGATTTCTGTCGAATACCAACATTTTACCAAACTAAACTGAAAGGGTAATTTATTTGGAGCTATAGCATCTTTATATTACATCAACCACAACCACAGACACAAGAACTACGGGAGAAATATTATCACTCTGTCATTGCCTCACTAACATGAGTGTCTAGTTAACTATGTACTTTAAAAACGGATGCAGCTAGTACATTATAGAAGGGATTTAAACCTCAGTATGAATTTTGAATGCTTGTAGGTAAAAGCTAACTGAGGCACGCGTTAACATATCATACAGTTTTTATTGATTGATCAACATTTTGACAGATTCTTTATCAAGTTAGATTTTCAAATACTTGCTTTTGACTTGAATCAAACGACAATTACTTGTCAATTGTATGTTGCAGTATCACGACTGATGGAGTCAGAGTCAACAGGCATAAACAATTGAACATGGTTCATGGTGTATGTTGTATGTTGCAGTATCACGACCTCGATGATCACGACTGATGGGGTCAGGGTCAGCAGGCATGAACATGGGCAACATGTCTGCACTATCCGCCTGTAGTGTAACAGACACCAAGCCTATGCAGTTCCCTTATATTCATGGTGTATGTTGTATGTTGCAGTATCACGACTGATGGGGTCAGGGTCAGCAGGCATGAACATGGGCAACATGTCTGCACTATCCGCCTGTAGTGTAACAGACACCAAGCCTATGCAGTTCCCTTATATTCATGGTGTATGTTGTATGTTGCAGTATCACGACTGATGGGGTCAGGGTCAGCAGGCATGAACATGGGCAACATGTCTGCACTATCCGCCTGTAGTGTAACAGACACCAAGCCTATGCAGTTCCCTCATATTCATGGTGTATGTTGTATGTTGCAGTATCACGACTGATGGGGTCAGGGTCAGCAGGCATGAACATGGGCAACATGTCTGCACTATCCGCCTGTAGTGTAACAGACACCAAGCCTATGCAGTTCCCTCTCACGCAAAGGAGAAAAAGAAGAGTCCTCTTTACCCAAGCTCAGGTAATTAACAAGAATCAATCTGTACTTCTAATAGATATATTTAATCATAATGATAACACAACGATCAATGTTCGAATGTCAGATATTACTTCCACTCCATACGGAACGACCTCTTCACAGCATCCCACCCATCGCCGGTAGCTGGTCGCTTCACAGGCCCAGTTCCCACCTGCGCCGAGCTGCTGTGTATCCCGCGAGTAGAATATGAAAGTAGAGTTGCAACCAGTTAACACCCAATGGCCGCGATTTTCTCCCGTCCTGTCACTCGTCTCTCGATCTCTCTTTTCTGCTCCAGCAGTTGGTATTATGCTATTGTTGTTGTTAGTATTGTTTGTCACCTAACGTTCGTACATCACTTATAACAGCTAACAGTAATTGAATAATGCAATAGAAGTACAGTACAACTTTAGAATGTTATTGATTTGTTTTTGTAAATGTAGTAAATTGTACAGGTTTTCATGCTTTCTGGGTTCATTCTTCTCGTTTTTTAACATTTTCGAGTTCGTAGTTGATGAAAACATTTGGAAATTATTTATGTTTACGAAGGCTGTAAAGATAAATATAATTTTTAAGGTGTGTAATGTAAAGTTAGCTGAGCTAATAATAACATCGCTTGTTAAAATACTTCGGAAAGCATGTTCGGCCGTAAGAAAAGCAATACTGTAGTTCATCATTAGAGGAGGTTCGGGTATAATAGTGGATATCAACAATATTCTATGTACTTACTTTGCTAGTGTGTTGCCGGTAGTGCTGGTGATACGGAACGCGTTGTGAATATTCACTGGTCCATGAGTGTTCGGATGTCCTCTCTAGATCGATGGTCGCTCTCAGATCCACCCTCGGGAGCAAAACAAAAGTTAAAGTGTTGATCTGTGAGTGGGGATGACTGGTTATTTGCCCCGTCCTGAGTCTGTCTAAACACCTACCGCAGCTAGGGAAGTAATCCACGGATCTAGTTACGCATGTTTGAGGTCACTAATTGTCTGTCAGTCACTCTCACGGTCACGAGGACATTCACTTCAAGTAGGTGAGAACACAAATTTTCATGCTTTCCTTTTACTATTTCATTATTTACAGCCTTTTGCGAGTAGCCTTCTCGCAACATCCTACGCATCAACTCTTACCATCGCGAGAGGTGATTATTGTTTTTTACCAAATATGTTCAAGTTTTCGTTGCACACTTTGGAATAGTGAAAGTGACAAGAATTTTTCACTAATCCTATACTCTAATACCAGCTATGTATGTTTTTTTTCTGTCTGTGTGTCTATCTGTCTATCTGTATGCCTGTATGTCTGTCTGCAATATATATCCTCGAAATCCAGTGGAACGATCTTGACTACATTTTGTAATTAGGGACATACAGCCCTAAAAACGTTGGCGACAGCCAGTACCTGAGGAAAATTCGCATTTCACTACACCACTCATTTGAAAATTAAAAAATTTAAAATTGGATTTATGTATTGCCAAGTAACTATGTTGGTTGAACAAAATAACAAGGAAAGAGTAAACAAAAGACTTGTAACGTGTGTTTATAACAAGCCATTCAGTGGCGTAACAGAAGGGGGGGGGGGAGGCGAGGAGGCCCGCGAACCGTTGAGCGGGAACTGGTGAGCAGAGAGGCCCGTGAGACAAGTCATTCTATAATCATTTAACAATTATTGAACAAGTACAGTAATAACATTAATGTTATGAACAATATGCTGTCATAGTTTAATTTTTTAGGCCTATTATTGAGGGATAACGCACTAAGGTAACAAATTTAAAGTTTTGGTGTGGGTCATTGATTATTATGCAATCTTACTTTCGTCACAGAGAAGTATTTTACTTCTCTGTGCTTTCGTACACTGCTAATGTCTGCAAACATTTTGTAACCTTACAGTAAGTTGCCTGGAGCCGGAGCCTGAAGTCATGAACGTTGACTGGGGCTTTTAAATTGTATTAGTTTACATTTTAGTTTTGCCCTAATATTAATTGTATTTAGTTAAATATAATAAATTGCTAATCTGCTGGCTTTGTTTGCTAGCCTATATAATATTTTACCTCACAGTTAATCAATAGTAAAGACATATAAGTGTAAGGCCAGCGTTTGAAATCCATATAAAGAAAAAAACATGCAATAGGCTATTTTTGCCTGTGGTAAAAGTGCGTCAGTCTTACAAACTAACAACCTTTTAGTGTATGAGTTAATTTTAACCATCGATAAAAATTAACCGAATAAATAATTTCTAACATGCGTAATAAAATCAAACATATAACCTCCTTGATATGAAACATTCTTATACGGATTTAAAAATAATATATTTTTATTTTATTTCAAAACGATTTACAAACACTGATATTGATATGATGATGTAGTGATGTAACTTTATCATCAAACCATGACTGAAATACTTAACATGCCCTTTTATGGAAAATTACCCATAATTGATTTACTACTCTATTTACGATGAATCTGTTTGATCATTGTATTGATGGTCCAAAAATAACTCTGGGGGGAGGGCGTTTGATTTTGTTGTATGGTTGTCTAAAAATAACTCATGAAAGGGGCCCAAAAAATAAGTTTGCATGGGGGCCCAAAAAGTCTGTTACCACGCCACCGAAGCCATTAATAGTATATACTAGCAAATTACAATATACAGTACAAAGGGAAAAGCATCAGTTGTTATGTTACTATTGAGCAAAGATAAATCTGAAGCTGAATATTACTCTATACAGTGTAGGGAAAATAGTTCCGATCGAATACTGATTACTTTACTTGGCTCTCTCCTACCAAAACTGAATCCCCGAAGTAATGTATAGTACTGAGGTGATTGTTAGCAAACTTTGGTTTAGCAGTGAAATATTTTATAATATCTATATACAGGGTGAGTTTTAATTGTCCCCCCCCCAAATTTTTTTTACAGTTTTTCAAATATCAATCCCAGACCACTTCCAAACTTTGTTGGGTAGTAAGTACTTCATTTTGACAAGGTGGTCATTTCCGGCCGCCATCTTGGATCCGCCATATTGGATGCAAAATATTTTTTTAAAATGTAAAGGTGGGGTTGTGACCCATCATTCCGAACTAGATTTGTACCCCAATTACAATGCCACAAACCGTTTTTAAAAATCTTGATTCATTCCAAAGTTATGAGGACTTTTTAAAACTTTATTTTTAGCCCATTTTAACATTGTGCATTTACAAACTAAGACCATAATCTCAAAATAGTGCTAGATAAGGATAAGTATACACTACCAGTCATTGTTGACTCATTTTCACTTGGTTATGGCTGATGTATTTTTTTCGGCCGCCATCTTGGATCCGCCATTTTGATATGTGATTAATATTTTTAAATATGAAGGGGGTGTTGTGACCCATCATTTCGAACTACTTTTTTAAGCTAAACTCAATGCCGCATTCTATTTTTCGTTATCAAGTTTTATTTTTGGAATATTGCAATTTTTTTGTTAAAAATGTCAGTATTTCTAAATCAAAATATAAAAATGAAAAATGAATCATTGAATTGAGTTCAGCTTAAAAAAGTAATAATAATAATAATAACAAGAGTAGAAAGTGGGTCATTGCATATTTGAGACCATGTTTGAAGTGCGAGATTAATCGAACACTTTAAATGGTCTTAAATTCTCTAGAATATGTATAGACCCACTTTCACTCGTGTGTTGAACGTTACTTTTCGCTACACTACAAAGAATAATTATTTTCTTCATTACAAATCTCATAAAAATCCCATTCAGTCCAAGTCTGTTTGACGTTGCCCTATAAGGCTGTAATTGCTTTGCTTTCCAAAGGAAACTTCCCATATACCTAATGTTAAAAATGCCTCAGCTGTACTTATTTGTATGTCATTCTTTCAATTTATTACCTGATTAAAATCAGGTGTGATTATTTGTTTATATTACTGTATTCGTATTCTGTTTTGTTTATTTCAGCTTAACTTAACCAATCAATAGTTTTATTAAAACTTATGAAGTTAAACGGGGTGAAGAATAGCTAGTTGAAAGTTAATATTCACTTTAGTTGTTGAAAATTAGTTGATAAAACAACAACAAATATTTGAAGTTGTTGACAGTGGAAAATTTTCGGTTGTAAACGATTTTACTTTCGGTAGTAAACAATAGACAGCTGTTGAAAATATGATTTTTCGCAGGTTGTAAACATGTAACGAAAACTCCTCAACTCATAGTAGTGTAGTGAAATAGTATATTTCATTACTAGGACCGAAAGTGGCATTTTCCGGCGCGCGCTTAAGTTTTTGTGTGAGGCGAAGCCGAACACAGGGAATCTCAATTTCACGTGCGAGGCGAAGCCGAGTACGTGAGAGCTATCTTCACGTACGAGGCGAAGCCGAGGACGGGAATAATGGAGCAAGTACCGGATAATAACTTTCGGTACGAGTTATGAACGATACTTTTCATCACCACGCAAAAATACACAAACACAGAATAGCAGACCTCAGTAATATTACAATAATTATCTATCAAACAATTTGTTTAAACATAAAAATAAAATAAAATCTTCTAAAAGTAAACCTTTGTTCATTTTTGTTTAATTTTTAAAACGTAAAAATAAAATAAAATATTCTAAAGGAAACCTTCGTACATTTCTCAATACTTCAAACATCAAAATAAAAGAATAACCCGATTTTGAACAATACATACAGCTGATTTAAATCGTTAAGCTAAACCTTAACAAAACACTAGCGCGCGTAGTGAATAAATGGAAAACTAATTGAGAGCGAGGGAAAGTAAATTTAGAGCGAGGGAAAATCAGCTGATCGATTTTCCCTTGCCCTAAATTAGAGCTTGGGAAATGACTACTTTCATTGATGTCAGCTGTTATCGAAAATAGTTACTTTCGGTGAGAAGTGATGAAAAATAAATTAATGTGTTGTGGATCAACAGGTTAAAATTTCCATCATAACAAATTGAAATTCTACTAAATCTCAAATAGTAAAAGCCAAAATTAGTTGTAAACAAAACGTGAGTTTCCTTTATATTGCTTTACCACACGAAAATAAAATATACCGAGCCACGGCTTGGCCCCCCGGTACTTCTAATTAAAACTATTACTATGTCCTCGGCCGCGTAAGTAATCGGAGAAAAGAACAATGTTCGCTCTTTGGTCGTGCTTTAAAGGGGGTTACAGGAGGGTTTGTCCTTGGGTTTGGCATATGTCCTTGATAAAGATTTGGAAGAAATAGTCTTTAGAGAAAATATTCTTATATAGTTCTCTATTCATATAAATACCGGGGTTTTATTTGCATGGTTTGACTATGTTGCAGGTTTATGAGCTGGAGAGGAGGTTCAAACAACAAAAGTACCTGTCGGCGCCGGAGCGAGAGCACCTGGCCAGTCTAATACACCTTACGCCTACACAGGTAACCAAACTATTTCACGGAAGACGATGTGGTTTTACACAAGTTGTTTACTTATCGTTGTCTTTACAAGTTTTCCTCATTGGCGTTACAGAGCCTACTGAACAGTTGGGGCAGAGGTAGAGTAGTAGACCTACAGCTTGCTACAATTACCCGGTGTGGGACAATCAGAACTGGGGTGAAGCTAAAAAGCTTTGAAAGCTTCTTAAGCAATTGGTGGTAAGTGGTACGGGCAGGGTATTACAATGGCTATACGAAATTTGCGGGACTGGGGGTGGGCGACAATGCGAGGAATATAGAAAACAAATGGCGGTGATTGGAGTGGTGGTGTTTAGCGGAGGCATTGTGTGACAGATGTGGCATTCTCTCCTTAGTTTGACTTTGGGCTCGACCTTTGTGACGGTACTGGGATCAAAGTGCTCCAACCTCATTGAGTATTTGTACTGCCGTCTGCGCCGTTCTGAGAGAAACAACTGTACTATTCTGGCTTTGTACTCTTTGTACAATTGTAATGGTCAAACATATGAGTGAGATAATACATTTTTTTGTCTTTAACTCTTTAGTTGCAACTGTTTTAAATATAAAAAACAACTAGCAAATACGCTGACAAGTTAACAATAACAATAACAATGAAATACATAAAAAGAGTAGGCTCAGCAACCGTCCTCCTTTAGCTGGCTACTCTTGGTCTTCGAGGCTCACATCGTGAGTATGTAGGGACCTGCTCCAGTGTCTTCGCGAACTACACCTGGCAACTACAATGTGTAGAGGTCTTGTGCCAATGGTTTGAGTGTCCATCTAGTTTGGTGCAAAACTTTAAGTAGAATATTTGTGCAGTCTCATGGACGTATTCCAAGCCGAAATCATGATGGAGAGTCTCGTTGCTTACATAATATGGAGCTCCAGATATTAAACGAAGGATTTTTGACTGACAAATTTGGATTTTCTTCATGTGGCAAAATTTAGCCGTGCCAAAAATTTGAATTCCACAAGTCCACGTAGGTTTTAGAAGAGTTTTGTAAAGTAATAAATTTGATTTAATGCATAATTTTGAATTTGAGTGAAGAAGACGAAAAAGTCGTTTGGTCCTGGCCCTAAGGGCAGTCTGTTGCAATGTGTGTCTTCCAAGTTTACCTCTTATCAAGGTGAAGACCAAGATAACGAGTACTATCACTCTGAAGAATTCTTGAGTTATTTATGTACACTGAGGGACAAAAGCCTCGCTTCAATGTACATGACAAGATTTTGCTTAACCACTAGCTTAAAACATTTCTGTGACTTTGAAGAGTGTTACTCGCATCAACAGGGTCTTCTGATGAACTTAATATTGCTGTGTCGTCAGCAAATGTGGCAATTTTTAGTGTGTTCATTTTGAGGTAGAAATAAATTTGACAAGTGCGCTTGCAATCATATGCGTTGTGGTATTTTTATACGGATATTATCGGAGTTCTACCTGTGGATTGGGCTATTGCTGTTATTTGTTTGCCGTCATGTACGTGGACATGTCATCTGACCTTCTACTTGGCCAGATAGGATCGTGTATGGTTAGGACGTTGCCTGAGACTCGTGGACCGGGGCTTGGGAGGAGAACATACCTACAACAGGCGTCAGACGAAAATGTCTGCTTCACATTCAACTTTTTAGATATGTAAGCATTTTCAGCAGTACAATAAAACTGATGCCGGGGGCTGTGGGATTACCGTAGTTCATGCGGATTTTGGCAAAGCAGCTTATGTGAATATGTTTTAGACCGAAATAATCTATCTCAACAGCGGTAGACCTCAGCTAATGTATTGCAGGATACCCTATATTCTCAACGGTAGACAAGCTATGAGACGGGTACAGCCATCGACAGACGACACCTCACACTCCCTATAAAAGAAATGTGGCATTCATGTTTGGGGGTTTTGTCGAGTATTATATTAAGTTCAGGAATGGCCTAGGTTTTAGAATGGCTGACCAATACAATCGTGTGGATGAAGGATAGAAAATAGCTTTCTTAGGGGGGGGGGGGTTTAAAAAATTAAGAATCTATACTCATTTATTTTTGGTCATATACAGTTGATTAGTTAGGTAGTAAAGCATATCAAAAAGAACAAGAACAGTTAACTACAAAATAGGATATCATAGTATGTCTAAATACACCCGCCACAGCAAACCTGCAGACTAGGTGAATTTCCGGGCTTATCCCAACTCCGCGCAGTGGTAAGAAATCTGTCAAAACCGACTGTCCAACTCCGGGCAGTGGTCACTTCGGATCCCTCGCGGCACATGTCCAACTCCGCGCAGTGGTCAATTTTGGCTCTCACAGCCCTGACGGCTGAGAGTTGGTGTTTGAACTTTGAAATTGTGTTATACTTTATGTTATGTTTATCATTTATAGGAAAGGAAAAGGGATAAGATATACCTAAAACAGGAGATAAAGCTTTCTAATATAAAAACCACTAATATAAGAAGTTTTAAAATGTCCGTGAGAAAGAGTGACTGTGAATTTATACGTTCCAAATTCTACAATAGTCAATCATTCATATTACTGGGCTTATGAGCTCTCTGAAATTTAGTACCAAGTTCAAAAATATTAGTTTTGTATACAACCGCAGACCTGTAAAAGGAGTGTATTTTGATTAAATTTGGAAATGCATTTATTTTACACTTAACTATTGACATTTCACAAAAAACACTTACTACCCTGCCTCTTGCAGCAAACCTATGTGTACTCATTAAACTAATGCTATTTAAATAGGGAATCTATATATATAATACGTGAAGCCGTATTTTGTTAACGCAACTCCTCCCACATTTTTGGACCGATTTTGATGATTAAAATGTCAAAACAATGGCGCTGATCTGTAGTTTTGCAAAGTGTTTTTAGTTTTTTAATATCTTTATTAGTTTGGGCAGGATCTTCCATCAAAGTTGGGGTTTCTCCCATAAGATTAACATGGGGGAATCTAAATATTTAATTGGAAACTTTGTCTTCACTAATTTGAGGGAACGGCTGGGCGTAGAGGTGCCCAAAGAAAGGTCTTGGTCTGTAGATGAGTTATCAAAAGATAAATGAAGTAAATTCGCTTAGGGCTCTGCCCCAGAAGCCTTTAAAGATCCCTCGACAGATTTGTTTACATTTTGGCTATGTGGATAATACTTTTTAATAAAACAGCTGTAAATTTTTACTTTCTCCCCCTATACCATAGTATATGGAGAAAGTATTGTTTTCGTCAAAATTTTCGAGTTTGAGTTTTGAGTGGATATATTCGTTTTGGGTCCCCCTGGACCCAAAAAAGTGGTTTTCGAAGTGATGTCTGTGTGTGTGTGTGTGTGTGTGTCTGTGTGTCTGTGTGTCTGTGTGTCTGTGTGTCTGGATGTGTACAGAGCTAGAGACTACACCTGTGGTCCGATTTCAATGAAATTTGGTATGTAGGTTCTAATCTATAGTATCTCCAGGCGTTTTTTTCATTTTTTTGAAATTTTGATTTTTAATGGGGAATTTACCATAAAAACCCATAAAAAACCGGAAAAATCGGATTTTCTCAAAAATGGCCCGAACGATTTTGATAAAAATTTAGTATGTTGTAGCCCTTTAAATTCTGAACAAAATGGTACAAATCCCATTTCTGTAAAAATTACGGTTCAAAAGTTATGGTAAATTATATTATTTTCCCATAAAAATCCCATAAAATAACGAAAAATAGGATTTTAGACAAAAAATCCGTTTTTATTTAACATAGTATGTTATGATCCTTACAATTTTGATAGTTTTCTCATTTCTTAGAAATTTTTATTTTTAATGGGTATTTTCCCATAAAACCCCATAAAATGACGGAAAAAAAAGATTTTCCCAAAAATTGCCTGAACGATTTCGATTAAAATTTAGTATGTTATAGTCCTTTATATTCTGAACAAAATGGTACAAATCCCATCTCTGTAAAAATTACGGTTCAAAAGTTATTGTAAATTATGTTATTTCCCCATAAAAACACCATAAAATAACGGAAAATCATATTTTCCCAATATTGGCTCGAACGATTTTGATAAAAATTTAGTATGTTATAGTCCTTTAAATTCTGAAGAAAATCTTACAAATCCCATTTCCGTAAATTTACTCTCACCGCTTACACATGATAAAGGTTGTTGACAAACTTATGGGAGAAAGTATGTGTCAGAATGCTGATACCGTTTATTAAATTTTGTTTTAAACAACACACATTTATTGGGAGTTACTGAATTGTCCAAAAGAAGTATTTGCAATGTTATTTTCTGATTTTAAAATTGATTTTCTTCTGTATCATATCATATTTTGCAATATATCGTTTCATTACGAAATCAGTGGAAATTCCTTTTATCACAGAACTCTCTTACAATAATTTCTTATTGAACTATCTAATATCTGTTGTGCGGGTTGTTGTCTGCCTTTTTCACCACTTTTGCCTATATTTTATCATATTATTCTACAGATCATCATAGGTTCATGAGATTATTGTCATACATGTTTTCAATCACTGGAAAAACAGTCGAATGTGTAATACAATACAAAATAATACAAGTGCAGAAGGGCACGTTGTCCATTTGAGCCATGTCCATATTTTGTTAAATTAATAGTGGTTTACAGCAACTTGATAAAACATTTTACAATATTTATGTAAAGTCATTAAGCTGTAAATCTGCAATTTACTACAGACTTTTGAGAGAGGTTGCTATAAAGTATTCATTCATCATAGTGAACACATAATATAGATACCCTATGTATACAAATAAGAATTTGAACTCAGAGCCTTTTAATGTTATTAGAATAACGAAATGGGTTGTACATGTCTAATAGCACTACTCTTTAACAAAAACCATTTAATTTATCTTCAAAATATATATTCTTAAAGTGCACTGAGCAGCAGCCTAAAAATACTATGTAACTTACCCATATAGTTACATAATGTTTGAACTCGCATTTTAACATTTATAATTCGGCTTATATTTCTCCAGCAGATTATTTATCTGCAGAAGAAGTT